ATAGATATCTTATATACACTAGGTAGTGCATCTACCTATTCTGCAATTTAATTTTGCATCTAATTATTCTGCATAGTTTAACCATAGATATCTTATCTACACTAGGTAGTGCATCTAATTATTGTGCAATTCAAAAATTGAAACCGTGATTGCAGTCTCAGGTCGTTCCCATGAAATGAGAAGATTCGTATATTATCTGTTTCTTAAACACGGAACTTAAACATGAAGTTAACCCTATGCCAAATACGTTTTTAAACTATTCAAATGATGAAAGTTATTGTTGTTTTTAAGCGTTTATTAGCAAGTGGGAACGACCAACATGGCCGCCATCTATTCAAATGGGGGTAACCGCTGGAATATTGTTGGCTTCAATTTTACTAAAAGAGATGCGTTATGTAGTGTATATAAGATATCTATGAGTTTAAAATTAACTCATTTATTAGCAATCAACATTTTTTCGGATGGAAATACGAATATATATTAAAATGCATGTTCAGCTTATGAATTTGCTACTATGCTTTAAACAAAAATAATGTTTAAGATTTACGTGAGGTGTTGGTCTAATAATATTCACGCTTGCATGTGATTCTCGTGTATAGGATTTAATGCGAAAACAGATGAATATATTTGTCCTATCTGAATATACGGGACATTTATACAAATAAACATAGTATTGTCTGATGTTTGTGATGTTACTCTGAGTGTGCATCCACACCGGGCAAGCGGAAAAGTTAGCTTGGCCACGGTGGGAATCGAACCCGCGACCTTTGGGATACTATAGTACTTTTAATTAACTGCTCCTATGCTTTAATTAACTGCTCCTCTAACAAAATAAGTTGGATATATATTAGTTTTTGTTGATATAGACAGGGATATCTTTATGTCTGATTATACATGCTCATCCTATGCAGTATCAATTCATTTTATGTAGATGTCGTTGAAGGCAAAGGAATTGTATTTTTTTGTGTTTATTTGGGCATTTGCGTCAACTGAAGGAAACCGTAAGAATAATTTTTTTCTGACGTATAACTGTTTTAATATTTTATAAGATAAATTGATATTTAAATGTTTATTATTTAAATTTATATATTATTGTTGCTCTAAGTTTAATTCCACTTATAGAAGATCATAACGTGGTTGGATTTGGTCGGAACTTTTATTATGGCAAGGAAGGTCGTAGTGCAAAAATTTGTCTTGTCATTAAAAAATACGTGGAACCCATCACTGGAGTGTAAGCATATATTATTTTTGTCATCTTGTAAAATTCACATAAATATGTTGGTTTTTTGCCCTGACATAGAGTTTTTTGTAGCAGTTTATGCTGTAACCAATGCCATTATTTAGATTATAATATAACATTTGCCTCAACCACTTCGTCATATCCAATTCCTAAATATTTAATTTTGTACCACCCGCAAAATTTTTCTTTCTACACATTCTATGATTAAGTGCATAAGATATTTTGATAGCCTTTTCATTTGATACATTAAGGATAACTACTACAGATGAGACCGCGAAAGGTGGAGTCGATTACAACGATACCATGCTACCAGTTAATATAACGACAAATTCTTCAAGTTCAGTGTGCTATACTATAAACCTATTGGATGATGGTGATTCTGAGGGATTCGAAACGTTTACCGTTGTTTTCACGACAAATGATACTGATGATCAAATATATCGAAGTAGATCTACGGTTACTATTACTGATGATGATGGTAAATATTGTATATTGATGTTTTTTACCAAACAAGACGCCTGATTAGGCGTTCACACTGACATGAAAATGACGACATACGTGCTATGGCGCAATAGAATAGAATACTAATCGTGAACCGCAAGCAAGTTACCGAGTATTTACCCCCTTTAAAACGAAAAGCACCATTGTAATCCTGGGGGGGGGTCAGCCGTCAAACATTACACAAATCCGAACGATAATATATTTAGTCACTGCTTGGCCAAACATTCTGTATTACTGAAAATGGCGACATACGTGCTATGGTGCAATTGACAAGAATAAAATCGTGAACCGCAAGCAGGTAGTATGGATTTAAAAAATGAAAGACCTGTTCGGGAGACCTATGATGCAAATCTATAATTATGTAAATGAACACAAGTACACAACGGATGTTTATGGGTCTACAATGTATATTTATAGTTGTTTATTAAAATTAAGTTGTGTAAGCAAACTGTTTAACCTTTAGGGAAATACATTTATTATGCCGAGGGGGAGGGGACGAAAATGTTAAGGGGGGAGGGCACCGAAATTTTTTCTGGCATTAAGGTGGGGCTCTGAAAATTTTCCATATACTGAAGGGGGGGGGCTATAGACTTTTCAAAATTTTGCTACAGCAGGGGCCTTGAGTGTTCACTCCCACCATAATTAATAGAATAGATGGCTTGGAAATTCATTAGAATAACAATATAACTCATGTCTATGTTAGTGAACAATAACATTCACCAATCTGGTCTTTTACCGTAACGTACGTATTGTGTTTTTGCCTGACTAACCAATAGCAATGTTTTAGGAAAGTTACCTATTCATGACTGAAACAATAGGGTAAATTGAAAATTGCTATTAGTAGACATGGAAAAAAATATAATACACGCGTGACGGTGAAGAAACATATTTATGAATAAACGTTGATTACCATAGATAACCATCTATTCTATATTAACTGGCATGAGGGAGCTCCACATGGAATACGTAAAAAAAGCTGCAACACGCTTGTCAAAAATGCATACAAAAGCACCAATATGCTTCAATTTTGCTGAAATTTTTATTCTGTTTTTACCATATTTTCTAAGAATATAGAACATATCATTCTTACAAATCGTATGTTTTTTGTTTTTGGAATTGCTACTTACGTCATAAACTTGGCGCCAAAAATTGAAATAAGCTATTCTTGATTTTATAAATGCATTTACAACAGCAGACTAAGGGTACCTTAAAACTGAAATCTGTTTCAAAATACAACCATTTTATGGGAAGTTATAGCAATACATATGTCGAAAAATCCGCCATATTGTTACTAAAAATAGAACAAAATAGCGGATTTTTAGAAATGTAAGTCATTAACCGAATTCATATTAGAGACGGGAAACTCGTCTTAGACGGGAAACTCGTCTCAGACGGGAAACTCGTCTAATATGAATCCGGGCGCAGACGAGTTTCCCGTCCAAACTTTCCCGTCTAACTTACCCGTCTAAACAGACGGAAAAGTTGGACGGGAATCCCATCTAGACGGGAAACCCGTCTTAAATTCGAATTTAGACGGATAAATAAGACGAGTTTCTCATCGCCAACACACGGTCAAAAACTGGAACTAGGGCAAGGGAGACAAACAAAATGGCGGCCAAAACGAAAGCAAGTAAGCAAATTAAAGCGAGAAATACTACTTCGAAACAAACAAAAAACAAGGTATGGAGTGAAGACGAAGTTATCACATATGCAAACGTGCTTTGTTCAACAGATAACGCAGAGCGGTCGTGGTTATACCAGATCGAGAATTATGCATTAAAAAAGTCTGCAAACGAAGAGTTGTTTCGACGTATAAAAGAGGACTTTGATATTACGATGCGTTACGATTCCGGTGATGAAACATTTACCATTGAACAATTACGTGCAAAGTTCAAGTGGTTCAAAAAACAATGGAGAATAATTGATTCCAAGATAAAGAATGGAACTGGCCTAGGAGGAAAGGACACAGCTGTACCAACCTGGTACGATATCATGAATCCTCATTTTTGCGAAGCAGTTGACGACATGACATCAGTTTCCAGCAAAGCAAGTGATGTAGATACCACCTTTGATTCCACTGATTCAGAAAACCACTTTAATCCTGAATCAAGTGACGAAAGCGATTCTTTGAGTGAAAGCGATCCTTTGAGTCGAGCTTTGAGTGACAAGAAAAGGTATAAATCAGCGGGTAGAAAGCGGACCCTAAGTACATCATCTAAAGGGCAAAGTGCTGGTGAGTCTGAGACTATCACAGACAAAATTGAGGTAGAACAAGGCGAAAAAAACACAGACAAAAGTGAGAAAAAAAGCCCTACAAAAAAGACAAAAATTAGAGTACATCCCAAGAAATTATTTTCAAAGCCAAGTTCGCAAAGCGAAGCCATGGTACAAGTAGCAAAGAGCATTGAATCAAGTACTAAAGAGCAAGAGAAAAATAAGATGAGCGATTAAAGATTTTATTAGACGCAGAAAGAAAGAGGGATGAACTATTTTATGCACACCAAAGAGAACAAGCAGAGGCAAACAGGAGACATGAGATCTTTTGGCTCAACTACTTACAAGAGGATCATCAACTCCATATCAACCACGTGCACAGGTCCAAAATATCTTCAGATGGCCCACTCTTTCAATACTCCTGTAAGTTATGGTTATAGCCTAGCAGGAAATCAGCAACCTGACTCACATGGTTCAATTAACATACCTAATTCTTCTGCTACATCTATGCTTGGGGACAATGACTCATATTCTCTGTATAAATTTTAATTTATTTTAGAACATTGACTTTGATAACTAAAGAACGTTTGTTGAGTAGGTAATGTTCAGTTGGTTTAGTACCTTTTTGAGGGGTTTTGATTGGTTGTGTTTCAATAAGATATTTTCATATTGAGGGAGTGAATATTATTCAAAAGGGGAGGGGCAGGGGCGGATCCAGTTTCTGAGGTGACTCATGCCTAAGACCTCGCATTTGTAGGGGGGTTTGAAATCTAGGACCTCGGAAATGCGATTTGCTGCGTTCTGAGCGAACTCTTTTGTTCCAATTCATACATCAGAGTCACAAAATTATTCGCTGCATTTTTGGGAAGCACGTAAAAAACGTAAACCTATATCGTAAAAACAACATAATTTCTCTATATAAGAAAACAATATTTGCTTGTACAAGTGTAATAGCAGCAGTGGTACATAAGTCTCTATTCAAAAATAGTCAGTACTGTGCTTCTTGTAGCCTTAACTTTTCTATTAAAAAATATTTCGGCAAAAAATCACGAGCAACGCAAATACACACATGCGTGTAATAAAGGTGTATACAGTGTGATCCACTAGTTGCATTGCTGGACTCAGAAGGGAGTGTTATTGTGTTGTTTTTTAACCACTTTCCATTATTAGTTTCCACTAATTTCCAATGTTCCATGGGTAAAATCTTCTAGCATTAGAATGGTGCATAAAGGTATTTTGTGCTCTAGTGGGTAAACTTATTTATATACAACTCTGTCTTATGCTACTAATCTTACTCTGTATGGACAGTGTGGTTGACAATGACATCAGTTGGTCGATTTCATTAAATTCATTCACCCCTAGCTGCCTTTGACATGAACTGCATGGTGAATAGCCCACACTCTGAATACTGAGAATATTGCCCTGTGACCAGGATACCAGTAAACTAACACACAACAAGCACTGGGTTAAGAATTCTATTAATATAACTAGGTACACACGTGCACGACCACAAATTTTAAATCAATAGAGACTGTGTGTAAATAAGTAAATTGATTTAATGAACTATCTTAGTTGGAAATTGTTTGTCAAATGAACCTACCAAACTGTACAATCATTATGATAAACAATATACCATGACATAATTGAATCATGTCTTCTATCTGTTCCCTTTTGCCTGCCTTTCAACTAATATTAATATAGTATTCTTTTAAGATGTTGTCAATGTAGAAAGGCTGCACAGTAGTATTGATGAATATTTTCCCTGTGTTATTATATAAATGCACATCTTTGTCAAATATATCCATACACTTATCAATGGTAATCCTCAGGGTATATAGTATTGGGACAATTAGCACTACAAATATATAATTTTATTAAATATATTTTCCAAACTATCCCACTTTTGTGAGCAAATTTCATAATTATATCCTATAACACCAGTTACAATTACATACAGTATTTATACCGTCCATCATTTTATCATTCTATTTCTAAGATTAAAATCTGTCAGGAGAATGACATATACAGCTTACATCAAATTATATTTGCACAGACAAAGCATATATACTCAACTATGGTAGGCGAGCAAGCCCAGGTAATCATCTTTGTTTGCAAAATATCCAGTGTACAGTAATTGCCCAATAACTCAGGCAATGCAAAGCAATTAGACTCTTGTCATGAGGCATGCCAGCTCATTTCCATATAAAATGAAAATGAAATGTAATAGGAGATACCACTGGAACTTGAACCAATTACCTTTCAATGTAAACTCCCCCTTAGTCTTCAAACCAATATTGCATCACTATTAGAAATCTCATTGATATTAACCTGCAATATTATTATGCACTGTAATTACATACAGAGCCTGATGCAAGTCTTGACCCACACCATAGTTTTATTTTTAGTATCGGTATCCAATCAAAATGTGCCAGGAGAAATGTCGATTTCACATAATTTAACAACAAGCTAAATATAGTTACAATCACTAATTCTATAATTATTTAATTATATATAGCATTAATTAACCAAAATATCAAAAAATACATTAAATATGGCATGAATACTCATGCTAGAAATAGCCAATCAGAGTTACAACCATAAAGGCAGTTGTAGGACGCAAACGTTTAATAACATGTGTATCAGGTCTTCATTTTTCTTTGCCCGCCAGCTGTGAGAAAAATGAAGGTCTGGGCACAGGTTATAATCCCATGTAAACAGAGATGAAATTTGCCTCACTATTAAAGCAAGCTATTAAAGCAAGTTTGGTATTGGGGCTGGTTTGCCTCCAGACAAGCAAATCTCTCTTACTCGGTAAAGACTGTAAAATGTCAAACTACCTCATCCAACCACACCCCCCCCCCCTGCTGGTATAAGCAATAGTATTTATAAATAGACACAAACTTTAATTATTTGTATGTTAATACAAACAAATCTGCATTAACTGTGGAACCCATTTTCCACTTTATACACTTCTTAAACTGAACAATGAACTACAATGTAAAATATAGATAAATTTCACTTACTTTAGAGCCCTCAGTTCGAGTTTCACATAGTGCCGATAGTGGGCATCTCACAGTATAAATATACTTCAACTCTTGTACTCAGATGAAAGACTAGATTTATTCCAAGCCTTGGTAATTAATTCGGTAATTTGTTCTCCGTTTTCTCCGTCAATTTCGAGAGATATTTCTTCCCATTAATATTATTTGTCTCATTTGCATTTAGTGTTTGCATATCCTTGCCGCCATGCCATAACTTGAATCGAATGCCTCGTTACGTCACAGTAGATTTTGATTTTGCAATTTGCATCAGTGAACTGATGCGAACGCCCGCAATCTGCATGCGATGCATCGCTCAGCGGACAAATCTACCGTGACGTAGGGCTCTAAAACAATAGATTTGATGATGTCACAGTAGATTTTACGCGGAAAAGGACTCGGGACCGATGCATTCACTGATGCAAAATGGCTGAAAATCGATGCAAACCAAATCTAACGTGACGTAGGTGATGGATCAGCTTTCTACTGTGACGTCAAAGGATGCGGTGAAAAATAACATATTTTGTCGCGAAATTATTGACGCTTAAGTGTCGCAAAATAAAAAGTAAATAACAAAAAATACACATTTGCGATCGCACGTCGCATATTGGACTTATTTTGACAATTTCGACTGTTATTGAGACTATTTAAATTGGATTTCATCCTAAATAGTGTATTCCTGACATGGAGTCAAGTTTAAGCAAATATTTGCGGTTTGATAGCTCGAGAGATTCAAAGATATTCTATTACTGAGTGCTTGACCAAGTATAATATGTCTATATATTATTTCAAGCAACATGATTTCTCAATTTTGACCGATGCATTCGCATCGTTGGCATCGGTCTGGAATCCCCGCTGGGGAGGGGGCAAAAAGTTACCATTACCATTGAGGGGGGATGAAAAAAATTTTTCAATCCCTATTTTCACCATTTGCCAAGCACTACCCACTTCTTCATAAATAATGACCACTCCCTACATTATGAGATCATGCTTATAAGGTAGTTATGTTGAATATGCTTTATTTAATATTTAGTGCCTGGCCTTTTTCAAGTGTTTGTCAAAGCATGCACACTGTTTAAAAGTTGCTATTGTGCATTAAAATTACATGGTCATGGTTGTAGGTAACAGTATAGAATGTTTTTTAAAAGAATGTTAAAATGTTATGTAAAATGAACAGAAACTTGCATTTATTTTCTTAGGGGCCATTCACAAAGCATGTCCAAGCCTGGGGGGGGGGAGGGGGGTTGGAAAATCAGGACAAACTTGGACCTAGGGAAGGGGAGGGGAGGGAGGTTTTAGCAATCTGGATGTACAAAATTTTAAAAATTGAAAAACAAAATTCTTTTTCCTTTATTTTGAACTTTTCTTCCCATTATGAAATTGGCATTTTGAACACTTCATAATATTATCTAATTCTCCCCTTCAATGAATTCAACAATGAAATAATAGCTTTTTGCATTTATAACTCTTTTTGTATTCACATTTATAGTTATAAGTAAGTGTTTGTCAAAGCATGCACACTGTTCAAAAGTTGCAATTGTGCATTAAAATTACATGGTCATGCTTGTAGGTAACAGCATAAAACGTTTTTTAAAAGAATGTTAAAGTGTTATGTAAAATGAACACGAACTTGCATTTATTTTTATAGGGGCCATTCACAAAGGATGTCCAAGCCGGGGGGATTGGTAAATCAGGACAAACTCAGACATAAGGGAGGGGTTTTAGCAATCTGGATGTCCAAAATTTTTAAAAAATTCAAAAACAAATTTCTTTTCCCTTTATTTTGAACTTTCCTTCCCATTGTGAAATTGGTTTGAACATTTTGAACACTTCATAATATTATCTAATTCAAGCCTTCCAATTCAACCATGAAATAATAGCTTTCTGCATTTTATAACTCTTTGTATTCACATTTATAGTTATAAAAAAAGTGCTAAAAGTAAGAAAAGCTTTTTTACTCTTGACATATCAAGGTTGCGCGAGTTTTTGCGAGGCATGGCGGATGTCTGGGGGGAGGGGGGTTAACTAACTCTGACAATGCCAGACAGGGGGGGAGGGGAGGTCTGAAAATCCATTATTTGGCCGGCCATTCTTTGTGAATGGCGCCTTAGTTAACATGTGATTGTTTGAAATGGTCAACATTCCTTTAAACATTAATATTATTACAGCTTTTCTTGACAATGAAACAAGTTTTTGAAGAACCTTCCAGGATGGGGAATAACAACACAACAATGATAATTGAGAGAGTGTTCAACACTCCTAGACATAACTTGGAGGAGCCATAGCAATGTAAACAACAATTTAGATTTAGGTTATTACAGTATGCACAATATAAGCTTAGAGTTCACTCTGATTTTAAAGACCATAACCATTCTTTGATTATGTCACGCACTTTATTACTCAGAGCTTTATCTTCAGATCGCTTCGTAGGTTTGCGTATTAGTTCCAACTTTTGAATCTCCAGCTGCCAGCGAGGAAGACAAGGGTCTGCCCTTTGAATACAGATATTATGTAATGTGATACATGCCATGATTATTGCGGTTACATTCCTTCTGCGACATTCAGTTTTCTTATATATAATGCGCCATCTCCCTTTTAACATGCCATAGGCATGCTCTGAAACTACTCTTGCAGCTCTTAAATGTTTGTTAAAATTTCGTTCTTTTCGTTTTTTGTGGTATCATCAAAAGCTTTCATCAACCATGAGCGTGCTGGAAAAGCACTGTCTCCTACCGTTCCAAGTGGAATATTTCCGCAACCTGGTAAATTCATCTCACAATTAGGTAGTACATGCCCAGATTCAATTTCGTTGAAAATCGGAGAAGATTTCAAAAGCGTGGAGTCGTGCATAGAACCTGGGGCTCCCACACCTGCCCAAAGAAACCTTTTGTTAGCTGCAATCAATCCCATATTTGTTACTGAGTATCGTTTCTTGAAACTGTAGAAATTCTTAAGATTACTGCATATATACACATGAAATCCGTCCCAAGCAGCCACGCAGGGAAAACCCCAATCCTTGAGAAAAGCCTTCAACTCATTTTTCCATTCTTCCTCAGTTGATGGTAGGGTCACATACTCATCAAAAAAGATCAGAACTATAACTCGAATAACTTCATTGAAGGTTTTACACGCTGTTGAGGTAGCAATCCCAAACAAATCGCCAACTGTTGAGAATGAACAACCATGAGCTAATCGATAAAGTGTGAGTGCTAGTTGAATTTCTGGAGCAACTGGCACCTTAAACCGGGTCGTCTCCCTTTTAATAGACTCTTGCAATTCTTGTAGTAAATAGTTGAACGTGTTTCGATTAACCCTAAATCTTTTTTTGAACTGCTTATCCGTCCAGTTTTCAAAACCATTTCTCCACCAGTGAGAAGACCTTTGCTCACTCTGTCCTTTAGGTCTTCGTTCTTTTGTGCAACCACAAATAAATGCACCTAGTATATTACCAAATCCATTTCATCTTCCATCGTTAGAAGTCTACGGGCTTTTGACTGTTGTCTGAAACATTGTAAGTCGTTTTGGGCCTTTCTTTTTCTGCCTAAGATAACATTTTGAAGGAAGGCCGCCATTTTAATTTGCTTTGTAACCTGCCCTTATCCGCCCGGCCAATTACCCGTCTAAATTTATCTGTCCCTAAATTCATATTCAGACGGGTTTTCGTAGACGAGTTTCCCATCTAAGACGAGTTTCTCGTCCCTAATATGAATTCGGCTAATACTTCTTGGGGGAGAGTGCTGCCATCCAATGGGTTTTTAAAAATATTGTTTTATTACTTTATACTCATAGATCCTCACAACTGATACACAGATGCCAAACTTTGAATGCTGATTTGGAAACAATCTTTGAAAAAAACAGAAGACTGAAGAACCAAATCATTACCCTGCAAACAATTGCACAAGAGATGAAAATGAAACGCAAATATATTAAGCCCATATATAATATAATATGGTGCAATTTTAATCTACTGTAGTTTTAATATCATACAATGCAATCGAAAAGGCTATTACCTACATATGAAGCAGTATTCTATTTTAATACATATCTAGTAAACAAGCTTGAACAATTATTGGAACAAAAATCAGTGTCTGAAAAAGAGAGTGAAAAGGAAGAAACTAAGATGGAAGCCATGGAAGATGAGAGTGAAACCGAAGACCCGGCTTATGAGGTGGAAGATGCTGAGGTGGATAGTGAGGCTGAAGAAGAAGAAATAGAAGAAGAAAGTTCAGGGTAAGTATTTTATATTATTGTGGTAAAAATATAGATTTTACACAACATTGACCACACTGATTAGTACCATTGTTTTAGCCACTCAAAGGGAATTTGTTATTCGTATCTTTGCACCATCATGGCAGAATATATGTACCAAAGTCATGATCATAATTTAGTACTTTTTATACTTGTGATAGGTTATTGCAAGTCGACGGCAATCTGCGAACAGAACCAAAACGCATTGTGTTTTTGTCACAGCTTCTGTTGCTTTTCAACTTTTGCCATTGTTGTAAAGCTGACAATCCATTAGTTGAGGCAAAAGGTGTTGGAACTGAACGTAGTTACTAAAACATGGAACGAGCCACAACGAGCCACTACGACCCACAACGACCCCACAACGAACCCACTACGAGCCACTACAACCCCACAACGATCCACTACGACCCCACAATGATCCACTACGACCCCACAACGATCCACTACGACCCCACAACAACCCACAACGAGCCCATGACGAGCCACGACGACCAAAACACCAGCCACAACAATCCACATGTTCACAACAATCCAACAACAATCTCTGCATGCGCAAGTGAGTCGTTGTGGGTCGTTGTGAGTCGTTGTTGGGTCATAGTGGGGTTGTTGTGGATCATTGTGGGGTCGTTGTGGGGTCATTGTGGGCTCGTTGTGGGTCGTTCCATGTAGTAACTACGTGGAACTGAAGCAGTTGTCACCACTACATGCAACAACCCAAAGTGCCCACAGAAGACTGCAATTTGGCATAGCCAACGTAGAATGCCTGGACGTAGAACACCTGCTGGTAATTTCCTTTTGTGTATGGCAGTTTTACTTGGTGGTGGCTCTTACACTAAATTATGGCAAATATTTCTGCACATGGGTCTTGGATGTATTTCACATAATACATACTTCCATTATCAGAGAGTAAGTACAGTATATGCTAAACAGACTTATTTATCTAGTACATTATGGTTGCACTTTTCACTCAACCCTTTTCAGTGAATAGTTTGGGAGTATTGCAGAATTGCTTGAAATTTGCCCTGATCATGAGAGTTTTGGTTTAAAATATATCTGAAGTAATTTAAATTATGTTTTAGACTGTGAATTTCCAACCATCTATCTACACTGGAAAGAAGTACCAGGCAATGTTGATGGAGAAGGCCAAACAAGTGAAAGATGGTGTAGTGATAGCAGGGGATGGTCGCCATGGCAGCATGGGACATTCGGCCAAGTTTTGTGCAATATACAATTTTTTGTTGTACGTTTGCACAAATCATACATTTCAATCTTGTACAGGTACAGTAGGAATTATTTTGCAGGCTGCTTATTAGAATCTGCATTATGCAATCGGAAAATGATGATATATAAAGTTCTTACACTCACCAGTGAATTGATACATGTACTTATTGCAGCTCTGTTTTTCACTCAAGGCATATGGCCTTACCATAACAACATTTATATCAGACACTTCCATTGCAAAGCACATGCGGACAGTCCTGAAGAACATTGTCCATTATTTTGACATCTGGCACTTGAAGAAAAGTAAGAGCAATTCCTACCCATAACATGTACAATTTGCTATGTAATGCACATGCTTATTATTTGTGGGCTCTCATTACAAGAGGCCTGGACATTAGCTTTGTTTACTTTTTATTCTTGACTTATCATCATAGATAGGACTCATTGTAGCTCATCCATTTCATTAATTAAGTTCTCATGCTGTCATGCACTCACAAATTACCAAAATAATGAGAAAATGCACACAACAATAACAAGTGAGCAAAGCTAGTGTCCAGGCCTCTTATATCAGAGAATAATCAGAGCCCACTGAACTATAAACATTACTGAATAACTAATGATGTAATATATTATGCAATATGCACTATATATTGTTATTGTTTATATTAAAACTCATACAGGGTATCACCATATGTCTAGCAAAGTAATCTCATATGCCCCAGAAAGTATTGTGAGAGGGGGATCTGTTTACAAATAAGTGCTCCAATTCTTATTTTCCTGCATTTTGTATTCATTTTTTTCTCACAGAAATTTGGAAGGTGCTTTCAAAAATAGCCAAAGAGAAAGACTGTGAGGCAGTAAACGAGTGGATCAAACCATGTGAAAACCACCTGCACTGGAATGCCACCTTGACATTCAGTGGAAACGGGCTGGTCATATGGGCTAAGTTCAAGTCCTTTTTGAGGCACTTTGTGAACATCCATTCAGGTCACAGTGATCCTTGTTTGATAAATGTGCCCATGGCAGTGACATTGAAGCTAGAAAGTGGCTGACCATTGGTATGTTATTGAAGTATGTGCATGACCAAAAGTACTTGTATTCAATGTATATTTATTATCATGCAGGTAAAATGTAACCAGTTCCAAATTCAGTTGGAGTTGTGGTTGGAAGGCCCATCAGACCTATCTAAACTCTATTATCCAGGATCACTCTACTACAGTACATGCATGAATAGATATCTGATGCAGTTCATGTTTTTTTCTATAGATTCACCACTTCATAAGAAAGTTTGTACTGCACTGACAAACACACGACTGATGAAAGGGATCAAGAAAGCGTCTCCGTTAGCACAGACAAGCTGCTTAGAGGGCTTCCACAGCGTGTTAAATCACTTTGCCCCAAAGATGATTGCATACTGTTATGTTGGACAATACTGCAGGTTAGAAACTTAACTAAAGTCATATTTATACTCTATTATAACTTATTCTATAATTCTCTATTTCATCAGTAAAGCTAATTACAGGAAGATAGCAAATTACAGGAAGACAATAAAGTAATTGTCCTGTTGTGGTTTTGTAGGCATATTCTAGCTGTCATTCATTTTAATTTCAACCTCCGAAGAGAAATGAAAAGAAACGATTCAGACGGTTCAGAAAGAGTGAAGATCAGCTATCCAAAATTTAAGAATGGTGAGGCAACAGTTCGGAATGTTAGAGTTGCACAGAACTTCGGTAAGTTTTTGTTGATGTGCACATAGCAATCGTGCCCCTTTCATTTATTTATTACATCACACCTCTTCTTTCAGCATATATACAAGAAATATATGAGACATTCGAATTGAGTAGCAAAGCCGACCTGAAAGGTGCAGCTGTAAAGCTGAAAGAAATGTGCCCACCCCCAATGAACACAATGCTCTCCAAGCAAACAAAGAGAGAAGCATTGAAAAAGAGATCTGACAGGAGTCAAATTGTCATCCAAGATGTTCCACCCACTACTTCAGGTAATAATTATTTCCAAATTTGATCTCTGAACACTTTTCAATCAATCATATTCCCATTGGTCATTAGTATGTATCAGAACATGTCTTGCATAATATTACAGAAAACATCAAACACTGATTCTTCAGTGTACTGCCGATTTTTCTGCAACTAAATGGTTTTTCCCGGTAGAAAGACGAGTATTTTTCTTGGTAAAACCACAGGTGGTAAACTACCACTCTTTAGTTTTTGTTATGTAAACGATTTTAAAACAGCCAAATAAACAAAATTTATCTTTTATAAGACTTAGTACAAATCAAATAGCCATCGGGTAAATACATTTGTTTATTTTAACTGTATTTTACCTTTTGCAAGGTAAATTTTGTTTAAAATCATTTACATATAAGATAAACCAAACAGTGTACGACCGAACTGTCTGTGCTAAAACGTTAGATACATGATGCCAAAATCTGTCTAGTATAATATATTGAGATTTATGTAAATTTAAATGCGAAATTGGTGCAGCTTGTAATTTAATCCAGGCGGAAGTATATATATGGGAAAGCGAAAGTTCAGTCAAGTGAATAAAAATAAACAGTGAATATATATACAAACTTAAAGACAGCTCCACTTTCAATAAGACAATATTGCGTCACAGCAACTCAGCACTGAGATCTATCTTAACTTACACTTGCAATTGTCTTACAAAAGAAATGGCTGTGTCAAAGAGCGAACACAAGGTAAGATGTATTTTCGCGGCTTAAAATTGGTCAGTGAAGTTGGAATTAACGGCAAATCTCGCTCGCGTTTGACTGCGACGGGAGAGTGACCATGAAACTCTCGTATCGACCTTCGCTTGCAATCGATATTTTACTATGATTTATTTATATTTATATATATATATATATATATATATATATATATATATATATATATATATATATATATATATATATATATATATATATATATATATATATATATATATATATATATATATTTATATATTTAAAAAAACTCATTAATAATTCAGGAGCAAAACACAAAGAAAAATCATAAGCGTGTCGTGGTTTTATATGTGATAAAAAATCATGTTAATTTACATAAACTTTAGCTTTGATTTTCTCGGTTTAGACAAAGTTTATTTTAAAAATTACTTCGCCAATGAACTCGTATAAGATGAGTCGTTTTTAAGCCATTTAAAGCACTTGTAGTCGTGTTTTATCACATATAAAACAGTCCGCTACGCATCGTGTTTTATATGTGATAAAACACTCCTACTCGTGCTTTAAATAGTATATATATATATATATATATTATATATATATATATATATATATATATATATATATATATATATATATATATATATATATATATATATATATATATATATATATATATATATATCAGGCGATTTATGTCCGTTTAATTAGTTTGTTTGATTTCGTGATTTTCGTTGACGCACGCGCTTGCGATGAAAATTTCCAGCTTGGAACTGATCTTTATGGCGACATTTTCCGAAGATTTCCGATCGTTTATTAAGTAACGTTTTCTGGTCTGCTTTCATAATGGATAGTTTCTCCTCGTTACACAGATTACATCGCGTGCTACCGGACGCGTAGGGTGTTGAATGTTTCAGAATAGACCAATTGATGGCAAAAGCCTTCCCTTTAAATTTAAGTTGCCATATATACTTCGACAGTTCAGTTTCTTTCTCATACCGAATAAGATTAAAGGATTTCTTATGGTTGCGGTATCTTTCTTTAAATGAATTTGCTGTCATGCCTATATACTCCTTCTTCAAACCGTCATCCAGGGATGTTACAACTGCTTTGTATACGATACTCTCAGCTTGGCATTTGTTATCCAGGGGGCATTCATCCTGATTTCTACAGTTACATGGTGTTTCAGGTTTTGTAGCTTCGCTTCTTCCTAAGATTTTCCGATTGTGCCGTGAAATAACATTCTTAACATTTAGCATACAACTGTAACTAACTTTGATCGTGTTTCTGTTGAATATTTTGTGAAGTGGATTTGTGGGAGGAAAATTTTTGTCAATAAGTTGCAGAAATCTTCCTCCAACGTTTGTCTTAACTGATTTACTGTATGGGGGATTGAACCATATAACGTTTCTATGTCTCTTTCGTTTCGGTGTTGCAGATGCGTTTAGATCTGGGGGGTTATAGTGTAAGGTTTCCTTAAAGTTGCTTTGCTTCAAGGCTTCTTCGTAAAAAGGTTTTGACTGGTCATACGCCTTTTGGTCGGATGAAAGGGATGATATACGCGTGTTTATTGATTTCGGTATATGCTTTATTATCGAGGGAGGGTGGTTGGAACGACTGTCTACATATTGCGTGGTGTTGAGGGGTTTTCTGTATGGCACGAATCGATTGGAATTCAAGTCTAAAGTAACATCTAAGAAATTTCCAAGATGATGACTTACTTCACATGTTATCTTTAGTCCAAACTGATGGAATGTTTCGTTTAACGATTTCCTTGCCATATCAGCGTTCCGAGTTGAATTTCCTTTCACCAAAGCCAAGCCATCATCACGATACAAACCCACACGATTCTTGCCAAAAATCGCCGAGATCTTATTCAGTATATATAGACCAACCAATTCGCATATCTTCGCTCCATCGTAACTACCCATTGCTACATCAAACAACGATTCACTACTTGATTTAGTCCATAGTTTATCGTCACTAAACAAAAGCGATTTACGTGCGTGCTTGATTATATTGATTTCATCCTCGCTAATATCGATCATCGTACGTGCCCATTGAAATGTAGCATCCAGAAGATCTTCCTTGATAGATGGATAAAAGTCAACGATATCAAAGGAAAGAAATGAATATATATATATATATATATATATATATATATTTATATATATATATATATATATATATATATATATATATATATATATATATATATATATATATATATATATATATATATATATATATATATATATATATAGCACAATCTGCAGACATGCATGTTTCGGCGTTCAACGCCTCGTCAGTGCAGCTTGGTACACGTCTAGATACGTGAGACACTCGTATTTATACCCCATGAACTTGCTCTCACCAAGGCATGTGGTACAACACGGTGACTCAACGCATCCAGACATGCGCAGAGCGTAATTTCCGATTAATAAACGATCGGAAATATATATATATATATATGAAACTGAAACACCATGTAACTGTAGAAATCAGGATGAATGTCCCCTGGATAACAAATGCCAAGCTGAGAGTATCGTATACAAAGCAGTTGTAACATCCCTGGATGACGGTTTTAAGAAGGAATATATAGGCATGACAGCAAATTCATTTAAAGAAAGATACCGCAACCATAAGAAATCCTTTAATCTTATTCGGTATGAGAAAGAAACTGAACTGTCGAAGTATATATGGGAACTTAAATTTAAAGGGAAGGCTTTTGCCATCAATTGGTCTATTCTGAAACATTCAACACCCTACGCGTCCGGTAGCACGCGATGTAATGTGTGTAACGAGGAGAAACTATCCATTATGAAAGCAGACCAGAAAACGTTACTTAATAAACAATCGGAAATCTTCGGAAAATGTCGCCATAAAGATCGGTTCCAAGCTGGAAATTTTCATCGCAAGCGCGTGCGTCAACGAAAATCACGAAATCAAACAAACTAATTAAACGGACATAAATCGCCTGAAGATCGGATCAGACAAGATCGTGAAACTCAGAGTAGCGAAAAAACACACATATATATATATATATATATATATATATATATATATATATATATATATATATATATATATATATATATATATATATATATATATAT